CACAGTGGGTCCACACGACCTCCCTTCACAGCCGGCCGCTCCTTAAGGACGAGTCGAAATTGACATCGGATCTTTCAATGTCACTTGCGTCAGGGCTTGTGTTATGGGAGAGTAGGCTTCCGCGGTCGGAGTCGGTAGCTTCATGGCTGGCCGGGAGATGCCATATCTAAGGCACAGGTGCCAACGTTTCGGCCGCCACTCTGCGACCTTCCTCACGGCAAAATGCCTAGTATTTCGCTACGCATTTCGCCCTGAGGAAGGTCGCAGATTGACGGCCGAAACGTTGGCCCCTGAATAATTGAAGAAAGTTTACAGAAGACAATAGAACAGTACTCACAGGCACACTACAGTCTTAACACCTTTCTTATAATATTCCTAGCGATTTTCGTCGTCAGAAAAAATTAATCGAACCCTATGCCTAGTACACGGCGTCTCCCGGTATTCTACGTAGCTACTATATGTGTGTTATCTCGTTCTTGGAGAATCGCAAGTGTATTCTCACCACCGGAGATCAATGATGCGTCTCTTGGTGTCAAAACTGTCAATTCGCACCACCTGAGGATAAACATTGACCTCGCCAAGACCGGCTTAGGTGGCTCAGTCCATCACCTGATGTCACTGCTGTGCCTTTGACTGAGAGGACTAAGGGTTCGAGTTCCGACGGTGGTAGGAGTTTCGACTCTAGCTAGTCTGCTAAAGGAATTCTGCCGCTAACTGGAGGAAAACTTTGGGGACCAGCTGCTCTGATCAGTAGTTTTCCATGGTTTCTCCGACCGACACCGGGCGAATGCCGAAGTTCACAACCCCAGGGCCAAGGACAGCGCGCGATCTCGTTCTCTTATCTTCATCCCTTTCTCACACGCACCCAGACTTACACTCGTATACACTACATTATCGCCACCAGGCGAGCGACTAGTCGGGAGGGGCTGTCCCAGCGGGGCCTGGGCTTCGCTGATGGGGGAAACCCGCAAGGCAACGTACAGGGCGAGGCCGGATCTTTCCATGCGGGGGATGATCGCCACATCCCGTGAGTAAAGCTTGCACTCTACTTGCGGAACTAATGACCATAGTAGTTGAAGAAAAACTAAATAATTAATCAGCCGCAAGACAGTGAGAATACCGTGTCAAGACATAGCAATAGAATTGTTTTCAACATATATTAAAAGCAATGGCGCAATATATCCTTCGTAGATACCTCCATTATTAGCAAGTTTCTTCATTAAATACTACGAAAATTTTTTCTGTCTTTTTCTAAAAATGGTCAAGAAAATATTTTGGTGTATAAAATGGGTTGGAAATAAATTATTGCGCAAACTCAAGGTATTATTTTTTCTAAATTTAGGACCTGGATTTATCCACTTTTTCGTTACCAGGGACTTGTAATAAGAGTTTTTCAGCCGGAAAATCGCAGTGTCTTCGCGCAG